ACACAGAGATTAAAAAGAAAAAGAAAAAAAAGAAAGAAAAAAAACCACACAGATTTTGTAAATTTGGTATTTGGTTAAATGTCCTTTGACCAGTATCTGGCCACTTGGAGTGCCTCTGGGGTTGCCGCAAGAAGGTCCTCCATCGTGCATGTGGCAGGGCTCAGGGTGCATTGCAGCAGGTGGTCAGTGGTTTGCTCTTCTCCACACTCGCATGTCGTGGATTCCACTTTGTAGCCCCATTTCTTAAGATTGGCTCTACATCTCGTGGTGCCAGAGCGCAGTCTGTTCAGCGCCTTCCAAGTCGCCCAGTCTTCTGTGTGCCCAGGGGGGAGTCTCTCATCTGGTATCACCCATGAATTGAGGTGCTGGGTTTGAGCCTGCCACTTTTGGACTCTCGCTTGCTGAGGTGTTCCAGCAAGTGTCACTGTAGATCTAAGAAAACTATTTCTTGATTTAAGTCATTGATGTGCTGGCTGAAACCCAAACAGGGGATGAGCTGGAGATGTCTCTGCCTTGGTCCTTTCACTATTGGCTGCAACTTCCCGGCGGATTTCAGGTGGTGCAATACCGGCTAAGCAGTGTAATTTCTCCAGTGGTGTAGGGCGCAGACACCCCGTGATAATGTGGCATGTCTCATTAAGAGCCACATCCACTGTTTTAGTGTGGTGAGATGTGTTCCACACTGGGCATGCATACTCAGCAGCAGAGTAGCATAGCGCAAGGGCAGATGTCTTCACTGTGTCTGGTTGTGATCCCCAGGTTGTGCCAGTCAGCTTTTGTATGATATTGTTTCTAGCGCCCACTTTTTGCTTGATGTTCAGGCAGTGCTTCTTGTAGGTCAGAGCACGGTCCAAAGTGACTCCCAGGTATTTGGGTGCACTGCAATGCTCCAGTGGGATTCCTTCCCAGGTAATCCTCAGAGCTCGGGATGCTTGTCTGTTCTTAAGGTGAAAGGCGCATGTCTGTGTTTTAGATGGATTAGGGATCAGCTGGTTTTCCCTGTAATAGGCAGTAAGAGCACCTAGAGCTTCGGAGAGCTTCTGTTCAAAATTAGGTGCCTCAGCTTATATTTGGGTCAGCTTATACTCGAGTATATATGGCAACTAGAACTGGATGGCCACCTGTTGGGGAGGCTTGCATTGTGTCTTCCTGCCTGGCAGGAGTGAGTGGGTTGGAATGGATGGCCATTGGAGTCCCAACTCTAGCGTTCTGTTGTTGTTGTTATTGTTAAGCAGAGTTGTATGGCCACCTGTTAGGAAGGCTTGCATTGTGTCTTCCTGCCTGGCAGGAATGGGGTTGGACTGAATGGTCATTGAGGTCCCTTCCAACACTAGAGTTCTATTATTGTTGTTGTTATTGCTATTATTAAGTAGAACAGGATGGCCATCTGTCGGAAGGGCTTGGACATGTGTTCCTGTCTGGCAGAATTAGGGTTAGACAGGATGGCCATTGGAGTCCCTTCCAATTCTAGATTTCCATTATTGTTGTTGTTGTTGGGGAAAGGACATTGGACCCGGCCCTGGTCTCACTCTAGGTAAGGTAAGGTAAAAATTTATAGAACTTTATTACGCTCCATGGACCCACAACTGTTAAATAAATAATAAACATACAGGAGTTTACAGGTGAGGTAAAGGTTTTCTCCTGACGTTAAGTCCAGTCGTGTCCGGCTCTGGGGGTTGGCGCTCATCTCCATTTCTAAGCCGAAGAGCTGGATACTGCTTTGATAGTCTTGGATTTGAAATCAAATCTGATGTTTTTATTTTTTATTTTTATTTGGTGTGCGATGGAAGAGGGGTGGTCTTATACGGCGAGTATATACCAAACTCTATATTTTAACTGGAAAAGTTGGGGGTCGTCTTATACGCCCAGTCGTCTTATATGCCGGAATATACGGTAGATATAGATAGAATTTTTCATATCCTTATTTGTTTTTAATAACTATGATGATTTATACAAGAGTCATTTTCCTGATCTTCTAATAATACACACATTTTAAAATTGAAGGTGCATTTTTCTTGCATTGTAGGAAGAATCTGGAGTTGCTAGCACTAGAATAGCAAGGGGGAGTGTGATTCAGGGAAGATTGGGAGGAAAGAGGGGGCAGTTATAGTTGACTACCCTTGCAGTCTCTTCCACAGTATTGCAGGCAATCCTCCTACTCTCCGAAGTAAATTTGTAAGGGGCACAGTTTTCCTCCACTTTCCTATAGGTTCAGTTCTGCCTATTGTAACTTGAATCCAAACCTATGTTCACTTTTGTAATTATTAAACAAATCTTTCTATCTGTTTGTTTGTTTGTTTGTTTGTTTACTTGCTTATTTATAACCTGAGTATTAACCATAGGAAATTATAATACATTATAAATATGAAACAACAGGCAAGAGTTCTTAAGGAAGAGCCATGTTTTCCTTCAGACCTTAGGTACTCAAGGTGTTTCTCTGCTTCTAAATCTCTGGACTTGGCAAATTACAAAGGAAGATCTTAACAACTGAAGCAGCCAGATCCGAAACTCTTAACATGATATATTTTCTTCAGCAGGGTTAGAACTGTTGATGTGTCACATATATTTTTTTATTCCTGGTGGGATAGCAAAGATGTTTGCAAGGTTACCCCAGTCCTCATAAATTTCAGCTGCCTGAAGACCAAAAAAAGTGTATCAGGAAGATTTAGAGGACCATGTAAATATCTTCAATTTAAGGAACATTCCTAGCACCACCTACACAGGCTTTATAATCCACTTTGAAGTCGGTTATACAGAGAGGGTGGCCAAATGACACATGCCCATATTCCTGGAAGATATGCGTCCATAATCAGTGTATTCCCATGTTTTTAAAAGTCTGCAGAAAGTCCAGGTTTAACAGAAAAATATGCCACAATGGACCCCGTTACATCCCAAACACTCAGAAAACACGAGAATCAGTGAGATTTCCATGTGGTGTACTGGTGTGAATGGCACCAGCACATAACCACATTTTAAAACCCAAAGCATTCTTGAACTCAGTGCATGCACTGAAGCACATCTCCACATCTCCTCAGCATCATGGAGGGTAATGGTGGAAAACTTTCAGAGTATGTCCCGTCAATCTAGATCATTCCAAATTAATGTGGGTTCCCTGAGAGGATTGTTCTGGGGCCATGGAGCCAGATGGAGACTCTCCAGAAGGTGACAGGTTTTTAAACCTTCTTTATCTTCTGGATTAAAGGCCTATGTGGAAGCACCCTTTGTAGTTATATTTCAGTAACTTTACACTTACTGTTATCATGATTCCAATGTATTACAGTATCTACTTACTTACACATGTGGATTGCATAGACATCACTTAACACAAAATAATTTCGTGTCCTTGGAATTTTTACATGTGCAATGTCTTGAATTATGTTATTCTTAGCCAGAACTTTGGGAATAAACCTAAATATTGTTCTTGAAGGTTATATTAATACGACATATGAAATAGATTACGCTGTCTGAGGTGTCTGAGGAAAGGAATTTTGATTTTTAAGCAAATTGGCATATACTGTTTTTTTTCTTTCTAAATAGTCTTTGATTGTTAAGCCTCTGATTGTAGTTGCTGAAATTTAAAGCAAATGTATGCTTGGTTCAAGGAATTTTTTTCTCTTCAAAAACACATCCAAACCCTTTTGTTGCATAGGCACATGTTTGATTCAAGGAAATTTTTCAGTTTTAAAAACACACACCACAAACATTTGTTGTATAGCCATATTGTATGTGTGTGTGTTGTTATGTGTATGTTATGAAAGGCTTTATAGCCCAAGGGGGTGGAGGAAATAATCTCTGTTCCCTTAATCTGGGGGGGGGGGGGGGTTCCTCCTTGCTTTTTAGCTGAAAAGCCCACAAGAATGGCTTTTAAAGATCAATAAAACATCTTAAGTCCCTAAAGACAATTTTTTTGGCCCTGTATCTGTATGCGTGCCCTTATGGAATCCCAAATCTTACTCCTAAACCCAGAAAAATATCAGAATAGAAAGTATATATAAATAACTTGAGGATGTACCAGTGTATTCTGTACCACTGTACTGACAGACCTCTGGGTGATTTGAAGCAGGATAGCAACAATTTGTAATTTGCAATTCTTTAAGTGTTGCAACAAACAAAAATATACTTGTGTAATAATAAAAACCAGGAGTAAACAAGAGTAGATTTGTGTTTGGAAGGACTGCAAAGAAATTCTGTTCAGTGCTTGTCTCAAATTCTTTATTATCTGAATGTCTATCTGGCACACAGTTTGTGGATCCCAGAGCTCAACTAGAACATATGCTTAAAGTGTCTGTTGAAAGCTTCGAAAACTTAAATTGAAGAGCTACAGTGTCCAGAATCCTCTAGACAGCAGGGCCACTCCTTTGAATCTGCCTATCACTGATATGGAATATATTTATTAATTATTTATTTATTAATTTCAGACATTTATATCCTATCCTTCTTACCCCTGAAGGAGGACTCAGGGTGGCTTACAACCGGCAACCATTAGATTACAACAACAATAATAAAAACACAGTTAAACATTAATTAAAACATCATCATAAGTTTAAAAGACCAGTTAAAAGTGACAAATCTATCTCCTATGTCTTCTGTGATAGAGTACCAAAATCTCTTAAGAGGTAATTAGCTTGGGATACAGGCAGCAAGGACTTTTCTGGTCTATGAGTTTCTATACTCAGGGTTTCCCAGGATTATGGAACAGACTCAGATCATGGCTGACTCCTTCCCCCATTGTTTATTTTAAAATGGTAATAGTAAGTTCACAAATATCTAGTATAGTAGTTCAAAAGAAAAAGAAGTGTGAAACAAAGTGATTAAAATTAGTAGCTTTGATTTTTTATGTTCATAAATTTCTTGTATTTCATTGTAAAGTCGTGTATCTTAGCAATTCTCCTTTAATGGAGTTGCTACCTGTTATACTGATCAATGATATACTTTGTGCACAATAATAAGTAGCTAAAAATTCAAAACAATAATTATACCTCTTGCATTATTTTTCACAGTCTGAATTTGAACTCAAAGTCTTTCATGTTCGAGGAGAGTATGCTTCATCAGTAGCAAAACTTGAAGATGACATTACAAATTTGAAAAAAGAACTGGACAATAAATTATGCAAAAGAAGTGAGGAAGCAAAGGATGTTTGCGTATCCACCGAGGATGATCACCCACCAAAGTCATACAGAAATGTATGCATCCAGACGGACAGAGAAACCTTTATAAAACCAACTGAAGATGAAAACAAAACAGTTAGGAATAACCAAATAATACCTAAGAAACTTTCTGTACCTTTTCTGAATAACAGTGTTTCTGGCTCAACTGACCATAAAGAAGCAGAGGGTCATGGCCAAGTCTCAGGGAATGTCGCATCTCCATTGGATCAAATTGTGCCGCCACCACCACCACCACCACCTCCTCCTCCTCCCCTACCACCTGCGCTATCTAGTTCTATCCCTCCACCACCAGCTTTACCTGGTAGTTTTGGATCTGTTCCTCCACCACCACCCCCTCCTCTTCCTTTGGGAACTCAGCCGCCGCCACCTCCACCACCAGGGCCTCCGCCATCAGGAGCTGGACCTCCTCCACCACCACCACCATTTCTTGGATCTAGTGTCTTTTTACCATCAAGTCAAGGTCCACGGAAACCTACAATTGAACCCTCCTGTCCCATGAAACCACTTTATTGGAACAGAATACAAATAAAGGATTGCAGGTAAACTGATTTCTTTTTGTTACTTTGACACATATTATTATATTTTCAATCAGACCTGCAGTCAAGTACTGATTGATAATATAACTTTTGGGTTGCTGTAAGTTTTTCACGCTGTATGACCATGTTCCAGAAGCATTCTCTCCTAACGTTTCCCCTGAATCTATGGCAGGCATCCTCAGAGGTGATAAGGAAAATTACATTCAAAGCACCCCCATGACAGATGGCCATCTATCCTGTTTGATACATGTAATACATATGATACAATAGATTCCAAAAATATAAGAAATATACCAGTCAGTTTTTATAGGCAGACATTGAAAACCACAAAAATAGTTTATTTTGGATGGTTCATTACTATGGAGTCTTTATCATCTGTTCAAATGTAAACCCTATGACCTATATAAGAACTGTAACATGACATGAACAAAGTTACTAAGACTGAGATCCTGTGAGACGCTCTGCTTTCAGATGAGATCATGAGATTCCCCTGACCTACTGAGGGAACTACTGTTTTTCATAAGCAATTTAAATAAAATTCAATTCTCAGGTACATACAAAAAATTCAAGGAGACAGGGAGATCATCAACCATAGCCAGTTTAAATATGAGTCACACTGAAATCATGAAACCTATGCAATAGGATCCAAGGCTCCCACTCACTGATGCAGAATGTGAGACAATGCCCAGTTACTATGTCAAGTCATGCCTAATTTATCTGTCCTTGATTCCAGTTCCCACCCTTCCCTTTCATCGAAAGAGAACATTCATGCATCCCTAACATACACTCGAATGGCCCTGCTTTTGCCCCATTTAGATAGTAACAGCTGATCTTAGCCTGGGTCTATACCGCAGCATAATCCAGTTCAAAGCAGAATCTAAGATCATATACTGGATTGTATGCCACTGTAGATCCAGCCTTAGTTTCAGCATCCCAGAGTAGTGCGCTGCTGCACAAATGTATGTGCATCTACAAAGACACAAATCACAATGTGTTCAGTGAGATTTATTCCCAGACAAATTCCTAATTGCAGATTTAGTTGCTGAGTTTTACTAACTTGGTAATTCCACTTTGCACCCAATCTTAATCAACATTCTTAAGATTAGCAATGTAGGAGCATGTGATGTTTGTGCAGAAGGTTAATATTGCTTTAATTGTTTTTAATTTGCTTTAGGTTTTGTATTGTTATGTTGTGTTTTGAGGCCTTGGCCTTTGTAAGCCGCATCGAGTCCTTCGGGAGATGCTAGCGGGGTACAAATAAAGTTAATAATAAATAATAATAATAATACAAGTCATATTTCTGGAGTGCGTTGATGCCAATTGTACAAGTTATTTTACAATCAGCTCACTTGTCAGTTGACACACAACTTACCTACCTTCTTCCTTTTTTCTCTCTCTTTTTCATTCTATTGATGATTTATTCCAACCTATTGTTGTTTACATTTTATCCTATCCATGCCTTAGATTAATCTTTGCTGAATGCTGTCATGAAGCAATCTGTTCCAGTTCAGATATTAAGCTAATGGGGGTAGAATCATAGAATCATAGAGTTGTAAGAGACCTCTTGGGCCATCCAGTCCAACCCCCTACCAAGAAGCAGGAAAAACACATCCAAAACACCCCTGACAGATGGACATCCAGTCTCTTCACCACACTCCAGGGCAGAGAGTTCCACTGCTGGACAGCTCTCACAGTTAGGAAGTTCTTCCTAATGTTCAGGTTAAATCTCCTTTCCTGTAATTTGAAGCCATTGTTCCGCCTCCTAGTCTCCAGGGAAGCAAAAAATTTACTCCCTCCTCTTTATGACTTTCCCTCACATATTTTACATGGCCATCATGTCTCCTCTCAGCCTTCTCTTCTGCAGGCTAAACATGCCCAGCTCTTTAAGCCGCTTCTCATAGGGCTTGTGCTCCAGACCCTCTTCTGGACACATTCCGGTTTGTCAACATCTCCCTTCAATTGCAGTGCTCAGAATTGGACACAATATTTCAGGTATGGTCTGGCGAAAGCAGAATAGAGGGGTAGCATGACCCTGGATCTAGACACTATACTCCTATTTATACAGGCCAAAATCCCATTGGATTTTTAAGCTGCCACATCACATTGTTGGCTCATGTTTAAGTTGTTGTCCATGAGGACTCCCAAGATCTTTTTCACACCTACTGCTGTCGAGCCAGGCACCCCGCATTCTGTATCCACCAAATGTTATCATGCTGGTTTATCTTCTTTTCATTTCTTTTCTATCTTAATACTTCTGTCCTTAGTTGTTAAGTCATAATTTCTTCTGACATCTTCACAAGTACAATATGAAGCCATTGTCAGGGCCCTTCCACATTGTGATTCCACTGTAACTGCCATGGTTCTATCCAATGGATTCTTTGGTTTTGCAGTTTAGAAAGAGATGTTTAAAATTATCAGCCAAAATGCCTTCTCAGACTACAAATCCCAGTATTAGAGAAGATGCAGCAATAATAATTAAGTTATAATCATAACACTATAACTGCATAGTATGAAAGGATCCTAGCTCATGCTATATGATTATAATATATGACCCAAGTCTTGCTGAGCACATGTGGAGTAAGAAAATGAAGATGTATTTTTTTCTTGACCTCCAAATTTCAGTTCACTGTTGCAAAAGAACTTGCTCCTTATTTTTAAAGGTTGTTCAAAACACTTTACATTGCAGAAGACATCGACAAATTTGAATCAGTCTATCTATCTAGCTTATGTATTTCTTTGTTCTTTATGGCATATTATCAGGAAATAGTAATTTGACCATCTCAGGACTTGAAAGAGCCCAAAATTTGATGTAAAATCACAGGGAGGAACAAAATGTTATGTGAGGGGTGTCTGCTGGAAGAAAAATGCCACTTGACTAATCAATTGTGATTAGAGATAATTTTCTTCTGCAGTTTCCATAGAAAAGGAAACTAATCCTCAAAGCTTCTTTCTTACATTTATTCATAAAACCAAAGGAAAGACATTAAAATGAAGTTTTAGAAATGTGTATAACTCTGTGTTCATTAATAGTTATTGATAGCATATTGATAGCATGGAGCCCCCGGTGGCGCAGTGGGTTAAAGCCCTGTGCCAGCAGCATTGAAGACCGACAGGTCACAGGTTCGAATCCGGGGAGAGGCGGATGAGCGCCCTCTGTCAGCTCCAGCTCCTCATGCGGGGACATGAGAGAAGCCTCCCACAAGGATGATGAAAAACATCAAAAATCATCCGGGCGTCCCCTGGGCAACGTCCTTGCAGACGGCCAATTTTCTCACAACAGGAGCAACTCCTGACACGACAAAAAAAAATTGATAGCATTACCAGAGTGAAAACTGGAGAAGGCTCCTATATCTCTGAAGGTTGTGTAGAAGAGGGAAGTTCAACAGGTATTCTTTGTTACCTGGTTGTATGACAAGCAACACAATGTGACAAGCCTTCTCCAAACCTAAATACTAACCATGAGGAGGAAATGAGGAAGATCTGGCAAATAGTTGGCCAGAGTGTACTTTCTGTCTATTCTCCGTGTGTACTCTCTGCTTGCTATGAATATTAGTGGTGTTTCATCAGTTTGCACAAACTGAATCCAGGAGGAGAAGGGACCTCTTTGGGGTGATTTTTTGCCTAAGATGAAGCAGGTTTTTCCTGAAGCAGCTCAAAGCATAGCTTTCAGGAAGCCTTGGAGACTTGCGAATACAGACATCTCAGTCTACTAAAAAGTTAACTTCCACTCCAAGCTCATTGGAAAAGAAAAATGGTAACAGATGAAAGGGGAAAGAGAGAAGGCAGTATTATAGTTTGTGATGGTTAGCTCTAGCATATAAAAGAAATAAGTTTGGCAGCATTTCATTGTTACTTCCAGCTAGCATATGTCTGATTGGAACAGAGAAGAAACAATTTATCAGCAGTCCGAGTTTACAGCTTCTGCTAAGATCTTTAGGCTGGGGCAGGAAGCCTTTTTCCAAAACCAAGAGTGATTTTCTTATTGGAAACAGGATTGTCCTTGGACTAAAGGAGGTTGTAATGCCTCCCAAAACAGTAAAATTTGTCCAAATGGCTATTATACATTAAATTGACATAAGGGCATAAGGAAAACTGGAGAAACCTACTATACCTTTATGTGTAGTAGAAGAGATCTCACCACGTGTTGCCTACTGAAATTTCCTCTTCAGCATACCACAGCCTTTTCCAGTTTTGTATCTTGCAGTGCAAACCAAAAGTGTGAGGCTTTACAATATGTGCAACTCTCCAAGCAGGCCAGTCCTCTGGCATAAACCTATTTACCTATCCCTAAAAAATTGTAGCCTGTCCACCTCTATTAAGGTATTTTATCCAGTTCTTCTAAGATACACATGTTAAGCTCAAAGCCCACAGGTTGAATCTAGCCCACCATGTCATTGTATGTGGTTCTTCAGATACTGGACTACAACTCCCATATTCCTCATCATTAGAAATCACGACTAGAGCTCATAGGAGTTGTGATACAGTAACACCTAGAAGGATGCAGTTTGTGCTGTTTAGTCAGGATAGTGCAATATGAATTTAGATACAAGGATTGTGCATTGATGTCTAACTTTAAAATGTCCTTTAACCTTTTCCCAACTTCAGAGCCACAAATGCTATTGGGTTGCAATACCATTATCCTTAGTTTACATGATGAATCATTAAAAGTGATGGAATATGTTGTTCAAAACATCTGGGGGCCCAAACTGGATAAAAACTAAAGAGCACGTCCATTGTGTAAAACAATCACAATTGGCCCTCTGTATCCACAGATTCTCCGTCCAGGTATTTAATGGCCCTTTGAAGCCAACCATAAGGCTGATGTGGCCCTCATTGAAAATGGGTTTGACCTCCCTGTCCTAAGACATGTGACCTGTGATGTGTGTCACTTTTCAAAAAGATCCATAAACAGTAAAATATCACTGGGGAAGGCTGCAAGAAACCATCTTTTATTTAATTTTTTTTAATTTGCACAATCTTCAGAAATTTCACCTGGGATGACCAAACATTTCAGAATAGATAGAAACACATCGAAATGTCCCCCACAAAATGCCTCCTCCCCAGTATTTCCTTTTTGGTGTATATTGGCCAAAATGGTGACTAGACGTGATTGTCTATTACTTTTGGTTGCCATTTGGTCATTATAATGCTAAAAATGAGGCATTTGGGAGTCATATTTAATAGGTGTGGCCTCTAGTGAGTTGGAGATGTCAATGGTCCCTCATGCAGTTGCTCATTCCTACTTTAAAAGTGGTAGAAACAAAGTAGGTGAATGAGATGATATATAAAGTGAGATTTTACATTAGGAACCAAGGGAGAACAGAGTGTACGAAAAATGACTCTAAGTCCTGTTGTGCTCTTTCCTGAAGGATGAAGTATAAAATCTGCAATGCATGTCCATATCCAAGTAAAAATAAAATATTGTACTGGCTCCAAAGTAAACACAACATATAAATGGTAAGAGAATACACAATCTTTGCAATAGATTTGTCACCAAAGTGGGGTACATGGAGCACACAACCCCCCTGTTACACCAGCTCCACTGGCTATGAGTGCACAATTCAAAGTGTTGGCTTTAGCTTATAAAGCTCTAAACGGTTTTGACCCAGCTTACCTATCCAAACAGATCTCCCTCTATGAACTGCCTCTGAGATTAAGATTGTCTGGGAAGGCCTGCTCTCTGTCCCACCTCCTTCATAGGTACGATTGGTGGGGACAAGATACAGGGCCTTCTTAGTGGTGGCTATGGAACTCCCTCCCTAGTGAGATCAGATTAGCCCCCTCTCTCCTGACTTCAGGAATAAAACTCAAAACGTGGCTTTGGGACCAAGCTTTTTGACAAGTAATTGGGAGCAATATGTGATTAAGACACAATGTGATTGACAAATGAAATGGACCTGAATTATGTTTTGGATGACATTATTTTAATTTATTGTTGAAGGCTTTCATGGCCGGAATCACTGGGTTGTTGTAGGTTTTTCAGAGTTTGTGAGCTCAGAGTTTGTGAGGTCAGACCTCACAACCTCTGAGATGCTTGCCATAGATGCAGGCGAAATGTCAGGAGAGAATGCCTCTAGAACATGGCCATATAGCCCAAAAAAACCTTCAACGACCCATTATTTTTATTGATGTTTTTCATAATTCATGTTTTAATTATTGGTTTTAATTGTAATTGTTTATTTGATATATGTGTATGGCATCAAATTGCTGCCTGTTGTAAGGCTGCCTTGAGTCCACTCCAGGGTTGAGATTGGTGGGATATAATTATGGTGAATAAATAAATGAATAGCAATATGATCAAAATATAAAGACATAGATCCTTAATAGCATTACACTTTGGCATATAGAGTTTATGCAATATTATAAAACAATCGCAGATGTATGAAATGTGAATGGATTCCTAAATATATAATTAGACCCTCCTGCTGTTTTAAGAAAGAGTTTGTAAAAAATCATTCTGCTTTTTCCCCTAATTTTAGTAAAAAATCAGCACCAACTTTATGGGAATCATTAGAAGAACCCAACATATGCGATACCTGTGAATTTGAATATTTGTTCTCCAAAGAAACAGCTCAGGAAAAGAAAAAGCCGTTAGCAGAGTCTTATGAAAAGAAAACAAAAGCCAAAAAGGTATAACCAAGAGTTTTTGTTTGTTTTGTTAAACTCCCTTTTACTAAGTATGTTATTTTATTTGGATGAAATTAAAACAGTGTAACAACACCAATGGACCCAGCAAATATCTGCAAACAATAATGTGATTAGTGGGACCAAAAAAAATATTCTTTTGCTTAAGATTCATTTTTTTTCTCCAATCTATGAATTGGCTCTCCGAAATAATACTATGGTTGGAATCATGTTGGTATGCTATGTTGGTTTAACTGCACTGGCACTGATGGAGCAAAAAGGCCGTGAACATTGTCACCAAGAAGGAAAGAAGACATTGCAAAAAGAGTTTATTCAGAGCCAACAGACATTGCAGAAAGAGTTTATTCAGAGTTTATTCCCCATGCACCGCCAGTGATGTGCATTTTCTGGAAAAAGTAGAACTGGAAAACATTTATTTGCTTTAAATAATTTTTCCAGTTCCCTTTGTGAAATTTATGGGAGGAAAAATTGGGAAGTTCTCACCAAAAAGAAACTGAATTAAATTCTGAAGCATCTGCAAATGTAAAAGATGGTTGACTTCTCAAGTCTTTTGACAGCAGTTCTAAATTCATTTTTGACACAAGAAACATCTAGTTAGAGTAATTCCAGTATTTGGTGGGCTTCCCTAGAATGGCTTAAGTACCATAAAGATCCCATCTGACACTGGAAGCTAAACAAACTCAGCCTTAGTTAGTACTTGGATGGAAGAATACCAACAAATGCTGGGTGCTGTAGGGTATTCTTCAAATAAAGGACTGGCAAACAACCTATCATTTTTGGCTCTTTAGTGAAATGATTATCATATCAAAGAGAGAAAATAACATTGAGGATAATAGCTTCTCTGTTGTCCATTATCTCTAACTGGCTTCATGTAATTACTAGCATGTGCTCTCATTTATGCTGAGTGTCAATATTTTGAAGATTCTTTTTTTAAAAAAATGAGGTATGTCTGTTATCATACTTTCTGCTTATTTTGTAATTGTGGGGGAAAATAAATATTATAATATTTTATACCTCATTTCGAAAAAAGCTTCACAATTTTGCTTGAGAATGCTACCATGTCCCCCAGTCCAAATATATTTATACATCAGTGGCCAAGTTATTTTTCATTAGTTCCAGTGACAAATACAATTAAGAATCACTTTCATTACTTCTAGAACTTTTTATTACTATATGTTGTAAACTCTTGTGTCTTAAATGCTGTGGTTGAAAATTAGACTGAATCATCAGAACTTCTCAGGGACTCCGAAAGTAACTTCCTTTCCTTGGAACGAAACATGAAAATTTTCCTTGGGATAAAACTTAGGAGATTTGCAAAATAATTTAAATGCAGAATGTGTAAGTAACTAGTAATTGTTGTTGTTGTTGTATGTTACAAGTTTTGGAACTTTAAAGGCAATATTAGTGACTAACTACATGGGGATTAAGGCTGTAATTAATTACTGCATAAAATAACTATATAGATTCAATGCAAAACCACAGGTAAAGGTAGAGGTTTTCCCCTGACAGTAAGTCCAATCGTGTCCGACTCTGGGTGTTGGTGCTCATCTCCGTTTCTAAGCTGAAGAGACAATGTTGTCTATAGACCTCCAAGGTCATGTAGCCGGCATGACTGCATGGAGCACCATTACCTTCCCACCAAAGCTGTACCCAGAGCTCTACTCACATTTGCATGTTTTCGAATTGCTAGGGCAAAACCATTGTACTTTGTTAAAGAGTTTATGTCCTTAGGGGCTTAGACTTGTACTTACCCTGTTATGATCTAAAGCAGGGGCTCTCAAACTTTTTCAGCTGCAGAACTCTTTTTGAAGCAAAAGTTTCTTGTGGAGCCCCAAAAATGTTTGTATATTATATATTATATTGCATATAATGTATATACATTAGGTATGGATCGGGCAAGTGGCAGATAGATGGAGAGTATTGTGTGAACTAATTCACACAGGTTAACCCACCTCAGGTTAACCTGTGACCCATCACGGGTTTTTGTGCCTGTCTGGAAGGGTTCTCATTCCCTTTTCTTATGTAAGATATTTCTCATTCTGGCTTAGAGTATATAAGCCAGGTAGGTGTAAATTATTCTTTGTTTCCAAGTAAGAACATTTTAGGCAATTTGTTATAGAGTGTCACACATGCTATCTGTGTACCCACAAGATTTAGGGAGACTTTTCTTTGGACTGGCCGAAGTAAGGGAAAATGTGTTTCAGAGATTTTCAGACATATCATTTTATAGTTTTCATCCCGCACAAACTTCAGTGTACAACAGAGTGGGTCAGATATTCATGCTTGTGGGATCTGTCTTGCTTTTCATTAGAAACTTGGATCTACAAACCAAAGTTTGGTGAAAAGAAATGCATTAAAATTAAAGAATTCTAACTCTTAGAATTTCTTTTGTGTACCCAAACTGAATTGAGTTCATAGTCTGTAATTTCAGCTGCATAATTGACTGTAATGCTGGTGCTATATTTAGGCAATTTGGAATCAGAAATCGTTTTTGCTCTATTCCATACAAAATGCAACACTCTAGGTACTTCCAAGTTTGTGGAACTACAACTTCCATCAGTATTAAGCAGCATAACCAGTTGTGAGTAATGCTGGGAGATGTATTCCAACAACATCTAGCGCACTACAATTTGCCCCGCTCTGATCTCTTGCAAATCACACAGAAATTACCAATAGAATCAGATCTATTTCCTGCTAAACTCTGGGTGGGAAGGAAAGGGTGTTATTTTGATTTTCTACTTTGAGTACGAAAATGTCTAAAGTTGGCACTGGCTGAAATAATTTCCATGTTTGCACCATGGAAAAAAAAACAAACTATGGGTAGCAGCATTTACATTCTTGTCACAGAGTCTGGAGATTCTGCATTCATTTCAGTTGTATATTTAGTAATGAAAGAAGAGACAGACAGTAGGCTGCCACCTCTGTTGCTTAGACATTCTCTGCCAGCTGGCATCGCATTATCATCAAAGAGCAACTACGAGGATGTCAGCTGCTTACATACTACTGTCATCTTTGCACAAAATGCACATTTCTGTGAATTCAAAGCATCTTTCACTAGCTGAAGCCAAATGGAACAATCTTGTTTTGGCAAACCAGAATTTGGTGCATTATCTGTTCCACTAAACTAAATGTCATACAGGCAGTCTGTGGCTTACAAACAAGATTGGTTCTGGAGGTTTGTTCTTAAGTTGTATGTACTTGTATGTAAGTCAGAACAGGTACATTTAAGTGTAACCCTCTCCAAGTGTGTGTGTATCGGCTTTGGTTAGCACCTCTGTGGTGTTTGTTTTGTTGTCTGTGCTTCCGTTCAGAAGATTTCATGTTGCTTTATGTCCCTGTGACAACTGGATTTTAAAAATGTTGGTTTGTCATGGAAACAAAGATTGGTGATCAAGCTTCAGTGGAGACACCTTGTTCCCATGATAACTCTATAAGAATGAATTTCACTTCCTAGGGATAGATTTCCTCTCAGGGCGCTTCCACACAGAACCTATAATTTGGGAGAGAATAGGTTAAAAAGTGGGGTGGCTAGATGATAATTGTGCTAAATATGTGCTCAATCGCCACAATGAAAGGAAAATCCATTTCAAAAAGGTCCTCCTTTATCCTGATTCCGGGCGAAAAAAGTGGCCCTGTAGTCATGTGTGGCCCTGTAGTCATGTAAAGTTTGCGTTTTCCCTCTTTACCCCCTGTGGAGGGGGGTAAAGCCCATGCTGGTTTAAAAATCCCAAAACGGTTGTTCAGGATAAACCTAATCCATCATTAATTTACCAGTTGAAACCAACAATTGCCTACTTTGGGACCAAACTACAATCTATAATAAACATGGCTGATATTTTGAAAGTTTGCTTAAGGAAGCCTTTTTTATTCTGATCATTGTGACCCTGATCTAGAATGAATGAATGAACGATATCAGGTACCTTCACTTTTCCAAAACTATCGCTATTGTTTTTTCAAATGTGTTTTCCTTAAAAAAAAAAATCAAGGACAAATATAGTTGATCTTTTTTAGCCATGGATTCTGTATCTACAGATTTAGTTATCCATGGCTTGAATATATCAGCAAACCTGATTTTGTTATTTAAGGGACCCCATTTGACTAATCCATTTGTATATAATGGGACTCAAGCATCCATGGCTTTTGGAATCTTGGTCTTGGAGCCACAGAACCACTGTAGTAACTCAGCTTGTGCTCACATTTTCTTATGTCAGTGTTCTTTTAAAACTGATCATTATTTAAGAATATGAAATTATAATGCCACATGCCATGAGGTGAAATTCTTTCTCTATGTAGATATACAAGAGTTTCTATTGCTAAAATAACTCCAAGTATATAAATAATGCCTTCAATGTAGGACAAGAAAATGTGTGAAGTTCTAGTTATTGTTACACTACAACTTCAGTCAACAGACTAGACAGGATTTTTTAAAAACCATATTGTCTTAATAACTTTTCTTTTTTAGTAGAGATCTGAAGTGTGTTCATAGTATAATTAATTTAATTCTATTTTAATATTTATGTTTGTCTGTCTTCTAATTGTTTTGCTCTTTTAAACTTGAGTCCCAATTCTTGGAGGAAGAGAAGATAAAATTAATATAATTATAATATTAATAAATGATAGGAGCTAGAGTCCAACAATGTCTGGAAGCTACAGATTCTTCACAAATGGCGCAATAATGGGCAAATGGGCATAGGGTTACAGCCTGTGTTGGATGGGGCCGCACTCCCCCTGAAGACGCAGGTTCGCAGCTTGGGTGTGATCCTGGACTCATCGCTGAGCCTGGAACCCCAGGTTTCAGTAGTGACCAGGGGAGCATTTGCACAGCTAAAGCTTGTGCGCCAGCTGCGCCCGTACCTTGGGAAGTCTGACTTGGCCACGGTAGTCCACGCTCTGGTTACATCCCGTTTAGACTACTGCAACGCTCTCTACGTGGGGTTGCCTTTGAAGACAGCTCGGAAGCTCCAACTTGTCCAACGCTCGGCAGCCATGATTTTAACAGGAGCGGAGCGCAGGGAGCATACAACCCCCCTGTTGCGCCAACTCCACTGGCTACCGATCTGCTACCGGACTGAATTCAAAGTGCTGGCGTTGGCCTTTAAAGCCCTAAACGGTTCCGGCCCAAGCTACCTATCTGACCGCATCTCTGCCTATGAACCCACCAGGACTTTGAGATCTTCCGGGGAGACCCTGCTCTCGATCCCGCCTGCTTCTCAAGCTCGGCTGGTGGGGACGAGAGATAGGGCCTTCTCGGTGGTGGCTCCTAGGCTGTGGAACGCCCTTCCTACGGACATTAGACTAGCACCATCTCTAATGGTATTCCGCAAAAAGGTGAAGACCTGGATGTTTGTGCAGGCGTTTGAGTAATGTAGTGCAATCTGGTAATGGAACATAGGAATGGAACAATGGACGACGAACCTGGACTACGCTTGGATGATGAGAAGATTGGGTACGGTTGTTTTTTGTAATAATTGTGCATTGTAATTGCTTATTGGTAATTTATGGATAATGTGTTAAGTCAATTGTTATATGTTGTATGGAACCACTGCTGTTTCTACTGTTTTTACTGTTTGTGAACCGCTGTGAGTCGCCTTCGGGCTTGAGATACAGCGGTATATAAGCAAAGTAAATAAATAAATAAATAAATAATGCATCACACACAAACACGCACACACACCTCTATTAGGATGTAAAATGTTGGCACAAGAGTACAGACTAAGAAAGTTTAAGACAATGAACCCTTTTCTCTGCCTGTCCATTCTGTCTTTGATATGGTAAATTCCTAGGTGGACCTTGAATCTGACTACTTACAACTCTTCTGGTATCCAGTGAGAAAAATACCAGTCATGCAGGAATTTTGTTCAGGAGGTTTTAGGTAGCTTGAGCTACCTAGTTTGATAGCTTCTAATTCTGACCATATGTACTTCTTCTCATAAAAGGCAATAAATATAAGGCTTGCTTTGTTCTGAAGTGAACCTCTATTATTCTTAAATTATAGAATATTAAGGGTATTTGCAGTTTAAAATAAGATACTAGAGGGAGAAAGTTGTGTGAGTTAACCTTAGTCCTATCTTCAGAGCATACCTACAATTTGTAGAGGCATCTCGGTGTAGTCGTTTCAAATGTCATATTGCCTGGTATGAGGTATAGTCTGGAAAGATTTTGCCTCAAACTAGGCATGCCTAATGTGGTTTATGACAGCCTATGAATTTTCCTCTGAAAAGGGTCAGTCTGCAGGTCAGTGAATGCTATACAAATTGCACTCTACTTAAGCCTATAATTACCCCTATTAGATGTTAATCTGCTGCCAAGTTAATCAAATAATGTATACTTTTAGAAATGTCTACGATAAGCTTGCCGTTTAACTGAAACTTAGGCCCTGAATGTTTTCCCTATCCATTATTTTTTTTTAAAAGGAGGACCAAAAAAAAATTCCAAACTGCTCCACTTATTCTGAGAATATCAGTTTTGCTTTTATTTTAAGAATTAAAATTAGAACTTTATATATATAGATAGAAATTCTATTAATTTCACTGGGAAAATGAAAACCATGATTACCCTTTCCCAGTGAAATTAGTAGAAAACAAAGGTATTTCACTTTGGGTAGATAATAGACATAGATATTACTTCCTATCTTGTAAGATGGTTTGTCGTCCCCCCCGAGGTATTCTGAAAATCATGCCTGTTTACATTTATTTCCTTGAGTACTATGCCTAATGCCACGAGTGAAAAACATTCATGCAAAACTGTGAAGACTTCTTTTGCTTGGTTGTAAAGTCCTTGTTTTCCACATATTGGATTCATTGAAGCATGGATAGGATTTTCTCTCTTTACAGTGATGTGACTTTATGTAATAACTCAGATTTATTCCAATATTAAAAGAAACATAGAAAAAAATAAATGAAAAGAAAGTTGATACCATTGCAATTTAATTTACAAATTTTGTCGTCATCCCCCCCGCCCTTCACAATACATTTCACATTTACATGGGCATTTAAAACTGACTCAATATTTTTATTTGCAGCTTATCAAATTGTTGGATGGAAAAAGATCACAAGCTGTTGGGATTTTGATATCCAGTTTACATTTGGAGATGAAGGACATACAACAAGGTGAATGTCATTTGCATTTTGATCACAGCATTATATGTAGATATGCTTTTACAAGTTAGTCTCTCTTCCTTACATTAACTAAATTGAAAATTTTCTGATTCAGATTTTATATGACACTGTGGCAGAGCCTGACAATCCACCAATACAGTTCTTGCCCTCTACTCCCATGAAAGTTAGCTTCGTGGTATCTATGTCCAGCCCTGCAGATATATAGTGGCCATAGTAGCCAGTGGAAGGTTGGGGTGGCCAAGTGAATGTATGGGTGGGGGTGCTTGGACAGCATATGGCTGCTGTTTTGCAACTGAAAGGAAAGAGCAGCTATTACTATCCTAGATTTCTCTTTTCTCCTGACCGCATAACCGCAAAAGTGTCCTCCCTTCTGCCTTTCCTCAGCCATTAAGAGTCCATCCAAACTGAAAAAATGTTGTATTCTAATTCCAGTTTGTCTGCAAGGTTTGCAGCCTGTGCAATCTTGGAGCTTGTAGTTTGATGGGGCTCTGAAATACTGATTGAGAATTCAAAATGGCTTTCATAAAATGCCAATCCAAGGATTCCATTATATTTAAACAGTGGAATCGTAGCACTAACAATATATATTGTGAAAGGACACCTAAATAGCACTGGGTGCCTACCTTGTGCATATGAAGCTGCTTTCTGTGCTGTGTGTCTTCAATCAGGAGAGTGATGAGATGTAAACTAAATAAATAATCTTGTGTGGAGAGGCATTGCACAAGGAGGCATTGCATATCTCCATGCACAAGAATCTAAAGGCACATGTACTGGGATACTCATGTGTTATACAAACATATGTCACCAGCCAACCATCTATCTATATCTATGTATATAATAAAGGTGAAAGTTTGTATGCGGCGGACAAAAGTGTGGCGGTGCGACGGGAGGAGTATGTGCCAGCGTTTTGATTGGCCAGCCTGAAAGTTCCAACATTCTGATTGGCTGCCGCAGTGGTGCTATTTGCATATGGTCTCTGATTGGCCAGCTTCAATAGGAGCCCCTGGTGGAGAAAAGAGTTCATGGCAGAAACGGGGACATGAGAAGGAAATTTGCATATGGTCTCTGATTGGCCAGCCTCAATTCCAAGATTCCGAGATGACAAAGAGAGGAAAGGAAAAGGCCAGAGGGGCTGGGTCAGAAAATTACCAATACAGACCAGACTTGGCACACAGAGCCCCCATGACCCACTCGACATCCTACTGCAGTTTGGAGGAGGATGAACCATGGATGATGGGACTTGCAGTACCATCACTCACATTCGGAGACCGCTGTTAACCTCATCCAATGACTGATCAGGACCAAACTTGGAACATAGACCTCTCATGACCCACTTTACGTCTGGTGTGGTTTGGCCGGGGATGGACCATGGATTATGGGACTTGCAGTACCTTTGCTCAATTCTTGAGACCACTGCAACCCTCATCCAATTACCGATAAAGACCAAACTTGGCATACTGAGTCTCCATGACACACTCTACATCCTGGTGCAGTTTGGAGGAGGATGTACCATGGATGATGGAACTTGCAATACCTGCACTCCCTTCCTAAGACCATTACAACTGCCAACAATGATGGATCAGGACCACAATTTACACAGAGAGCCCACATGACCCACTCTACATCCTGGTGCGGATTGGAAGAATTTGACAATGGATGATGGGACTTGCAGTCACTTCACTCACTTCCTGAGACCACTGAGACCCTCGCCAATGACTGATCAAGACCAAACTTGGCACACATAGTCCCCATGACCCACTCTACATCCTGGTGCACTTTCGAGGAGGACAGACCATGGATGATGGGACTTCAAGTACCTCCACTCCCTTCCCAAGATTGCTGCAACCCTCATCTAATGACCAATCAAGACCAAACTTGGCACACAGAGCCCCCATGACCCACTCTACATCCTGCTGCAGTTTTGGAGGAAGGTTGACCATGGATTATGGGACTTGCAGTACGTTTACTCACTTACTGAAACCACTGCGACCCTAATCCAATGACTGATCAAGACCAAACTTAGCACACAGAGCCCCCATGACCCAATCTACATCTTGGTGCAGTTTGGAGGAGGACAGACCATGGATGATGGGACTTCAAGTACCTCCACTCCCTTCCCAAGATTGCTCAACCCTCATCTAATGACCAATCTAGACCAAACTTGGCACACAGGGCCCCCATGACCCACTCTATATCCTGCTGCTGTTTGGAGGAGGGTGCACCATGGATGATGGCACTTCAAGTACCTTCACTCACTTCCTGAAAACAATGCAGCCATTATCCAATGACCAATAAGGACCAAACTTCGCATACAGAACCGCCATTACCCACTTTCTCTGATAACCCGGGCAGCGCCGGGTCCCCAAGCTAGTTTATAGTATAAATAAGAAAAAAATGTATGTTCCATGGAGAGTTATGGAGTGAACAATGCTCAAACGTGCAGATGTTAAATTTGTAGAGCCTTTGACAAATTCAAGGATGGAATTAGATTGGCTCTTAGAAGGTGTACTTCTCTGTGGCCGCGTGTCATCAAAAATAGCCATGTGTGTCAGTGCTGACACGCGTGTCATAGGTTCACCATCACGGGTATAGGTGGTCCTGAGCTGGAGGGGCCTCTGTGGGTCCACACCAGTATGCTGAATGTATTTGGGAAAGCACCCTTGCCTGCCCCCTTTCCCCCCTTTGCCCCTTACTTTGCCACCACCGGCGTCTTCGTGGGCCTCCGCTCGCTGAGAGGCCTTCAACTTGTCCCAGGTGTCCTTCCAACGCCCGGGAATCTGGCCCAACTCCATCTCCAGGTTTTGCAGCTCCTGCAAGAGGAGAGTGGCTGCTCTCAGGGCTCTCCCCGCTTGACCCCCTGGCCTGAATTCCCCTCCGGCCACTCCTCTCCGCAGCCCAGGCCTGACTTTCAGGGAGGGAAGTGCAGGGCTCCAGGGACAGCCTCGGTGCTCTCTGCACAGTCCTGGGTCAAGCCAAAGCGGGAGAGGTCTTCCGGGCGCCTCCCTGGGCATCGTGGCCAAAGAGGGGCCATGAAAGAGGCCACTGGGCGGCCGACCAGATGGACTGCGGAGATGGCCAATCCATGGGCATCAGCCCCACATCAGAGTGCAGCACAGGAAGCCCTATATCC